AATTATTTAAATAATAATAATTATTATTATTAACATGCTATAGACATCAGAAAGAGAGACAGAGAGAGAGAGAGAGAGAAAGTGAGCAAGCCGCCAGATCTGGGACTTGAACCATGGTCGACCATGTGGGAGTCCAGTGCCCCAATAACCATGCCATCTGCTGACCCCTGTCCTTATTCTTGCATACAGTTGCACAGTGTTCCATTGCAGAGGTCCCCATTTATTTAGCCAGACCCCACTGAGAGGCACTGGCTCAGCTCTGCCCCATGGGACTTTGCTATTGCAAGCAGCACCGCAGTCAATGACGTGTACAGACGTCATCTTGCCCGTGGGAAGGTAGATCTAGCTATCCTGCCTTCCACAGCCATAAGGGAGGAGGAGGAAGAGGCTGTGCCTGCTCCGTCTCTCCCCTCACACATCCTCCTTGCCTCCTGCAGGCCGTGAATGCTGCCAAGTACGGGGTAGCCGGGGTGCTGGTGTACACGGACCCTGCCGACATCAATGATGGGCAAAGCTTACCCAATGAGACCTTCCCAAACTCCTGGCGCCTGCCTCCCTCGGGGGTGGAGCGAGGGTCCTATTTCGAGTATTTTGGGGACCCCTTGACTCCCTACCTTCCAGCCCACCATTCTTCCTTCCGTCTGGATCTTGTCAATGTCTCTGGATTTCCCCCAATCCCTGCACAGCCCATTGGCTTCCAAGACGCAAAATACCTGCTCTGGTAAGCCTGTGTGCCAGGGTCTCCTGCCCATCCGCCACAGTGGCCTGCAGACTTCAACCCCCACACGCAGATTTGTGATGAAGACCCTCTGCCTCCTCCGCAGTAACCTCGATGGGCCCTCAGCCCCTGCCGCCTGGCAGGGAGCACTGGGCTGTGACTACAAGTTGGGGCCTGGCTTCCTACCTAATGGTAACTTAACAGACAGGTAAGGTGGGGCCCAATTTCCCTTACGATTCCTTCCTTGCCTCCTCCAACATCAAGGCCTGGCCTTCCCCTTTCTTCTCTCCCCAGCCCCTCATCTGACCCCAGACTGTCTTTGGAGAAGCCTGTGAAGCAGTGCCATGGCTCACAGGTCCCGTGGGCTTGCTGCCCTCCCGCCCACTCTCTGCAGCTGCCCCCCTCCTTTTTTTTTTAAAGAAACTTGCTTTTTTAAAGAATTATTTTATTTAACTTTAGAGCCTGGGGCGGGGAGGGGATGAGAAAGCAAGCCGCCAGGTCCAGGACCCGAACCGTGGTCGGCCATGTGGGATCCAGTGCCCTCAACCATCACACCACCTGCCGGCCCCTGCAGCTGTTTTTCTTGAATGTGCCAGGCTCCTCCTGAGCCAGGGCCTCTACTGCTCCACATCTGCACCCTCTTCCCTGCCTTCTCCCGGGCCACTAAGTGTCCCTTCCTCCCAGAACCTCTCCCCAAAGGCTAAAAAACCTGGGAGGAGGAAACACCTAGTCTGTCTCAGGAGAAAGGGGCCCAACAAGGGCAGGCGCACATCTGTCATCATTGTCGGGCCCAGGAAGGTGCTGGGCACACACTAAGTGCCCAGGAAGTACTTACCGAGTGAGGGAGTGGGTGAGCAAGTGAATGAAAAGGAGAATTGGAATCAGAAGGCCTGGGCTTTTAGCCTTGTTGCCTCTTAATACTTCCAGGCAAGTAACCCTGTCATGTCCCTTTCCTTCTCTGGCACTGGGTGGGGGCAGTGGGTGGGCAGGGCCCACTCTGCCATACTCTTCATCCTCTCCAGCCAGGTGAGGGTGAGTGTCCACAATCAGCTGGAGCTCAGGAACTCCTCCAACGTCCTGGGGATGATTCGAGGAGCTGTGGAGCCTGGTGAGTCTCTCACACTCACTATGCCCCCAGCACCCCGTCCTGCTCTGAGCCCCCGCCACGCTGCTCTAGCCTTAGCTGGCCCTGCACTGCCAAGCCCAGCCCAGCCGACCTGCCCACCCCTCCTTCTTCTCCGGGTCTCTGACTCCTGGGCCAGACCGCTATGTGCTGTATGGAAACCACCGGGACAGCTGGGTGCATGGGGCTGTGGACCCCAGCAGTGGCACGGCCGTCCTCCTGGAGCTCTCACGTGTGCTGGGGACCCTGCTGAAGAAGGGTGAGCACCCCCCAGTCCCACTTTCTCTCCCTTGTTCTTCAGTGACCCTGAGCGCCAAGCCTGAGGGCCCTGATGGTTAGGGTTGCATGAGACACCGGCCCTGGCCTCAAGGGGCTCAGTGTGGAACAGGGAAGGACCCTCGAAACATTAAGAGTGGAAATGTTTTACTGATCACATCTCTGTATATTTCCTAGAAGACATTCTCTTCTAAAACCACAATACAATGACCAGAATGAGCACACGAACAATTTTGCTACTTGTCCCAATAATGACCCTCCCCAGACCTTTGTAAATCGCCAGAGTACACATGTATTGATGGAAGACAGAGAGAGAAAGCAGCTTCGTCTGGCATGTTTTTTAAACGGCCAGGGTTGGCACTAGAACAGTCATCCCCATGTGAGGTCCAGCTCCCTATGCACAGGGCTTAACCACTGAGCGGCAGGGCCAGCCCCTCAGTAATGACCAGTCGAAAGAGAATTTTCTATTTTCTGGCTGGGTTTCTTCAACTGTGAAGTGGAAATAACGGTCTCTCCAAGGCATCATTAGAAGGATCAGTTCAAGGTGGATAAAACCCTGCTGTGTTATCTCCCAGTGAAGACAGAGCGAGTGTGCATGGGAGGCACAGAGGCCGGAGTTGAGGACGGAGGGTCAGGAGGTCTTCCCAGAGCTTTCTACAGAGAAGGGAGGTGGCACATTCTGATAGAAGGGGTCATCTGACCAAGGGAGGTGGTGTTGAGGGGGCTGTTGCAGAGGCTGGAGGCTGGAAAGAAGACAGAGCCTCCTGGAAGGCCTGGCTGACAGGTGCCAGGACCTCCTGTCATGGGCTGCCCCACCTTTTCCAGTTCTTCCCTCTTCTCCAGCCTTTCCCTTAAAGCCACTTAAAGCAGGATCCTGAGACCTGGCCCTCAGCCCTTTTTCTCCCCTTTCCAGGCACCTGGCGTCCCCGGAGATCAATTGTGTTTGCAAGCTGGGGGGCAGAGGAGTTTGGGCTTATTGGCTCCACAGAATTCACGGAGGTGAGTGAGGACTACAGGGAGGGGACCTGAAGGGGTTTACCATGCAGTCAGCAAGGGGCTAACTTGACCCCCTCGCACCGGCAGGAATTCTTCAGTAAGCTGCAGGAGCGCACCGTGGCCTACATCAATGTGGACATCTCCGTGTTTGGTATTGGGGTGGTAGTGTCTGGGGGGAGGTTGGGCTGACAGCCGGGTGGGCAAGAGAAGGGGTGGGGTCTGAATAGAGTCTTTCTCTGTCCCTCCCACAGCCAATGCTACCTTTAGGGCACAGGGGACACCTCCTGTCCAGAGTGTCATCTTTTCTGCAACCAAAGAGGTGGAAAGGAGGGGTGGAGCTATATGGGGTGGGGTGGGGTTAGGGAACAGTACTTTTTGAGGGGCTGGAGGTGGGACCAAGGCTGCAATGAGTCTCGCACAACAGTCTGGACCATGGGTGGGCTGGAGGCCGAGGTCCCAGCGGAGACCAGGCAGAGGGCACTACTCACTGGGGCTAGGAAGAGGCCCGACTGGAGACTAGATTCCCTTCTGGGCCAGGTCCGCTCACCAGGCCCCAGTGACCTCAGCATCTACGACAACTGGATCAAGCACTTCAACCGCAGCAGCTCAGTGTATGGCCTGATCCCCAGGTGAGCCCAGGGACCATATTTGGGGGTGAGGTTCAATGGGCCAGCTCAGTGCCCTCCAGCCTTGCCCCCTTCCTTCCTGCAGCCTGGGCTCTCTGGGTGCCGGCAGTGATTATGCACCCTTCATCCACTTCCTGGGCATCTCCTCCATGGACATCGCCTACACCTATGACAGGGTGAGTAGGCACCCCTCTGACTCCCGCCTGGGTACCTCGCTTCATGACCTACCACCTTTCTCCCTGCTCTCCTTTGACTGCTCAAGTGCATACTGAATCCGGCTCTTTCATTTGGTAGCTGTGCAACCTTAGCCATGTTTCTTAACCTCTCTGAGCATCTGTTTATGATCATCTATGTTATTTTATCCAATGTCAGATATGGGGCTAACTTGACCCCCTCGCACCGGCAGGAATTCTTCAGTAAGCTGCAGGAGCGCACCGTGGCCTACATCAATGTGGACATCTCCGTGTTTGGTATTGGGGTGGTAGTGTCTGGGGGGAGGTTGGGCTGACAGCCGGGTGGGCAAGAGAAGGGGTGGGGTCTGAATAGAGTCTTTCTCTGTCCCTCCCACAGCCAATGCTACCTTTAGGGCACAGGGGACACCTCCTGTCCAGAGTGTCATCTTTTCTGCAACCAAAGAGGTGGAAAGGAGGGGTGGAGCTATATGGGGTGGGGTGGGGTTAGGGAACAGTACTTTTTGAGGGGCTGGAGGTGGGACCAAGGCTGCAATGAGTCTCGCACAACAGTCTGGACCATGGGTGGGCTGGAGGCCGAGGTCCCAGCGGAGACCAGGCAGAGGGCACTACTCACTGGGGCTAGGAAGAGGCCCGACTGGAGACTAGATTCCCTTCTGGGCCAGGTCCGCTCACCAGGCCCCAGTGACCTCAGCATCTACGACAACTGGATCAAGCACTTCAACCGCAGCAGCTCAGTGTATGGCCTGATCCCCAGGTGAGCCCAGGGACCATATTTGGGGGTGAGGTTCAATGGGCCAGCTCAGTGCCCTCCAGCCTTGCCCCCTTCCTTCCTGCAGCCTGGGCTCTCTGGGTGCCGGCAGTGATTATGCACCCTTCATCCACTTCCTGGGCATCTCCTCCATGGACATCGCCTACACCTATGACAGGGTGAGTAGGCACCCCTCTGACTCCCGCCTGGGTACCTCGCTTCATGACCTACCTACCACCTTTCTCCCTGCTCTCCTTTGACTGCTCAAGTGCATACTGAATCCGGCTCTTTCATTTGGTAGCTGTGCAACCTTAGCCATGTTTCTTAACCTCTCTGAGCATCTGTTTATGGTCATCTATGTTATTTTATCCAATGTCAGATATTATTGATCATAAGATGCGCCATTATATTATGTATTATTCAGGAGAGTGGGGGAATCAATTGCCAATCAATTGTAGGATGACATTGACTATAAGAAGCATTTTGGGGCCGGCAAGTGGCATGGTGGTTAAGGGCGCTGGACATGGCTGACCGTGGTTTGAGTCCCAGACCTTGCAGCTTGCTTTCTCACTTTCTCTCTCTCCTCTATCTCACACACTCTCTCTCTGGTCAAATTAAAATAAAGTTAAAAAAAATAATTCTTAAAAAAAAGGTTTTAAAAAAAAGCATCTTGATTCGAGATATCTAAAACTGTTTAGTGTTTACCTGAGCATTGATGAAATAATGTTATAACACAGGGGTCATAGCATTGGTGTGGGGTGGAATGAGATGAGGGATGCAGGGTGTCCAGCCTGCCTCTCTCTTTGATGCTCCAAAAGCCTGTTTCTCCATGTTGTGGCCATACTGCTTCTGGGGGGAGCTGGAGTTTAACATCCTGTATCTGAGTCCCAAAGCCCAGGCCTTTGTGGTTCATGTAAGAAGCTCCAGCTCCGACCTGTATTAGCCAGTTAACCTGAGACTCAGCTTGTGCCTTGTGGATGTGGTGAGGGTTTGAGATGGTGCCCACACTGCAGCCCACTGCGAGTGTGCCTCCCTCATTTCCCACCCCAAGCCTGTCGCCTTATTCCCGCAGAGCAAGACCTCAGCTCGGATCTACCCCACCTACCACACAGCCTTCGACACCTTTGATTACGTGGACAAATTTGTGGACCCTGGTGAGGAGGGAAGCAAGGAGCATACCAAGGCAGGAGAGATGGGTTCGAGAGTGAGACCTGGAGGCCAGCAGGTGGCATGGTGGTTAAAGGCACTGAACTCCCACATGGTCGACTGTGGTTTGAGTCCTAGACTCGGTGGCTGGCTTTCTCATTTTCCTTCTCTCTCTCTCTGATCAAACTGGAAAATAATAGTAATAAATAAAGTTAAATAAAATAATTCTTTCGAAAAAAAAAGTGAGCCCTGGTCTGACTGTCCTCCCTGCAGGCTTCAGCAGTCACCAGGCTGTGGCCCGGACAGCGGGGAACGTGCTTCTGCGGCTCAGTGACAGCTTCTTCCTGCCTCTCAATGTCAGTGACTACAGCGAGACTCTCCGCAGCTTCCTGCAGGCTGCCCAGCGGGATCTTGGAGACCTGTTGAAGCAGCACAGCATCAGCTTGGGTATGGACATGCCCTGACACCGAGGCATGGGGAGCCCTGCACCCCCAGGGCTAAGTCACTGGTTGTCCCCACAGGGCCTCTGGTGACCGCAGTGGAGAAGTTTGAGGCAGCAGCTGCATCCTTGGACCAACGCAAATCAGCACTGCAGGCGGGCAGCCCTGAGTAAGCAGAGCAGTGGCAGGTGTCTGGGAGGGGGTGTGCAGGCCAAAGTGCCAGGCTGGCAGCTGGGCTGCTGGCTCTAGGGTGACCAGCAGGTCCTGTCTCTTCCAGCCCCTTGCAGGTCCGGATGCTCAATGACCAGCTGATGCTCTTGGAGCGGACCTTCCTGAACCCACGCGCCTTCCCAGAGGAACGCTACTATAGGTGAGTCTGTCCCAAAGCTCCTAGGATGTGACTAACGATGGGGCAGGGCAATGGCCACCAGCCAGAGGGAGGAAGAGGTCAGTTTCACTGCCATTTAGAGCAAAACTCAGCCCCTTGAAACGTGGGGAATGTGAGAATCAGAGGGGGAAACGTGGGGAATGTGAGAATCAGAGGGGGCAGATGGGCAAAGGGTTGCCCTAGGACCTGGGACTAGAACCTGCATCTCCTCCCACCACTGCCGTGAGAGCTCCAGATTTCAGAGACAGGTGTGTGGGTACCCAGCTACGTGCAGGAGCTGAGCAAGCTCCAGGCTGAGACTTCTTTCCCAGCCCTCAACTAACCCTGGTCCTGCCTTTCTCTTGTCAGCCATGTGCTCTGGGCACCCCGCACTGGCTCTGTGGCCACATTCCCCGGCCTGGCCAACGCCTGCTCCAAGGCCAGCAATACAGACCCTGGATCTGAAGCTTGGGCTGAGGTGCAGAGACAGCTGAGCATCGTGGTAGTGGCTGTGGAGGGTGCGGCAGCCACCCTGAGGCCTGTGGCTGACCTCTGACCTCAGCCTGCTTCAGCTCTCCCTTTATCCTACCCCTCTCCCACCCACTTCCTGTATCCTGGTCTTCTGTGGAATGGGAAGGAGAGGCACACCCGGGGGACCCTCTCAAACTTAAGGCAACTGCTCAGGGACTCAGCAGTTGCTGACACCTGCGGAGTGGCAAGCCCCAGATGAAACTGGGGAAACAGTCCCCCAGTAGCTAGGGCCTCGCCTGGTGTGCATTCCTCTTCCTCATTCTTAGTGTATCTCAGCGACCTACCCCCTTATGCTCTCTCAAATAAATTGGGTCTAGTATCCCACAAGGCGAGTTCCTTTTATTGTCTGGAATCATGAACAAAGTACCCTCAGGGCTCTCACCCAGTCCTGGGCTCTGGGAGACTGTAGTTTCCTCATGTTGGGGGCTTGGGCTTGTCCACGCCTTCGACTTCCTCCTCTGCCATGACCACCTCTTCCAGGGTGTGCCCTCGAAGTTTATTCCCCACTAACACGTTGCAGGTACCAACAGGTGGCAGCCCTTCTTCAGCATAGTGACCTCTCAGGAAAACAACCGTCTCCTCTCCGACCAAGGGCAGTCCATGGGCCTGACACAGATCCCGTGCCTCACTGGGTCCATCCAGGGCCAGCAGGTGGACCATGAAGCCCAGAGGCAAGGTCTGCCCTTTGGGAGTGCTCAGGGCACGAGCCAGGCGGGCCAGGGCTCTGCGGCGGGCGAGGCCCACATGGCACTGCACCGCACAGCTCTGTAGATACGGCAGTGTCCGGAGCAGGCGGAACAGGCGTGCTGTATTGCCCTCCCGGAAAGCTGCGTCAACCGCCAGGGCGGTGTGCAGGGGCGGGCAGGCACGCAGGGCGGCGGGCAGCTGCAGAACCTCATGCAGGGCTTCAGCTGAGCCTGCGAGGTGGGAAAACCAGAATGAGGATGCAGGATCCTTCCTGGGCCAAGCCCACCTCCCACCCCAAGCCTCAGGCCCTGCCCATCTCCCCTCCCACCCCCTCCCCTTCTCTGGCCTCAGCCTAACTCCACTTCGGAGGAGATAGGGAGATCGGTCCTGCCTACCTCTTCTCAGGCACGCCCCTCTAGGTCTCCACCTTTCCTCCTTCTCCTCTAAAAAGTGAGATCCCTAGGCCCGGCAGGTGGCTTGGTAGTTAAGTCCGTTAAGGCAAGGCGCCAGACTTACACATGGCTCAAGTCAGACCCAGTCCTAGACTTGTCGGTTTGAAAACCACTCCAGGTGCGCAGAATCCCAGAAGAATGAAGGAGATGGGACTGTGCGTGGCTGTTCCCCCAACCCTCTCATTTTTTACCTCCCACTCCCCCACCCCCAGATGATTTCTCACTTTCCTTCTCATTGTCTCTCTTCGGGGAAGGCAGGCACTCTATGATAAAAACTTTAAATTGAAAAAAATCACTGAGCCAGCCAGGTCGTCCTGGCGGTGGTTAAGACAGCTGGATCTGGGACCAGCAGTTAGCATAATGGCTATGTCGCTGGACTCCCACGTAGTCGGCCGAGGTTCGAATCCCGGACCTGGTGGCTTAAACTCACAACAGGAACGTGTGCGTGCGTGCCCAAGATCCTGAGAGGAGAATGGAGGAGAAGGGATTGCAGCATGGCCATCCCCCCTGGAGGTGATTTCTCACTTTTTGTCTTTCTGTCTCTCACTGCCCTAAAAAAAAAACCCAAAAAAAAAAAAAAAAAAAAAAAAAAAGATCCACAGCTGGATCCCACATGGTCAACTGTGTGTTTCAAGTCCCAGGTTGGTAGCTTGAAAATACACACTGGGGGGGGGAGGGCAGCAGTTGGCGTAATGGCTATGTTGCTGGACTCCCATGTAGTCCACTGTGGTTCGAGTCCCAGATCCGGTGGCTTAAACTCACGCTGGGCGCGTGTGTTGCCCAAGATCCCGCGAGGAGAATGGAGGAGGAAGGGACTGCGGTGTGTTCATCCCCAGGGTGTGTGTGTGTGTGTGTGATTTCTCTCTTTCTGTCTCTCTCTGTCTTTCTGGCAAGTGCATGTGCCCTATAGCAATAGGACGGACGCCTGCGCTAGCCAGATAGAGAGAAACAGAAAGAGAATCACTTCCAGGGGGGATGACCACACCACAATTCCTTCTCCATTTTCCTCTCTGCATTTTGGGTGCTCAAGCACGTGCACACACACCCACACCCACGCGCGTGCGCCTGGTGTGAGTTTTAAGCCAAGGATCCAGCACTCAAACCGTGGTGGAGTATGTGGAGTCCAGCGAAGTAACTCTTACGCCATCTCCTGGCCCCAACAGTATCTTATAGTTCAACAGGAAAGATTTTATTAGAATGTACTTCCCATAGAAAGTATTTAAAGTCTTCAAATTTCCGTCTGATACGTTTGAAAGCATATATGTTCTTGGTTACTTTGCAACACTGGGAATGGAGGTTAAAGAAGGTTTGAAGAGAACTATATAGGCCAACTTCTCCGTTCCACGTTTATTACTGAGAGAACTGAGACCCAAAAATGGGAAGAGGAAGGTCTGGGGTTCCACTTCTGAACTTGGTGGCTCTTGTGTACTGACCTTCCTGGGAGGGAGCTACGCCGAGATTTTACCATTTCTCCTAACATCCCCTGCCTTCACTATCCTCATGCCGGGCTTCCTGCACTCACGCTACTCACGCTCTGCCCGGTCCCAGGGACCTCCGACTCACCCAAGTTATACAGCAGAAAGAGGCCCTGGAAGGTGGCCTGGCGGGGGTGCGGCCCTGCGCCTCGCGCGTACCAGCGCCGCAGCGAGCCAAAGCCTTCCTGCACCTGGGTCTGCAGCAGCACTGGGTCCGCGGGCCCGCCCTCCGCCTCGGGTCCGAGCCTTGCCACGACGGCCAGCAGCGTGGCCAGCGCGGTCTCCAGCACCAATACTGCCTCAGCGTCGCCAGCGCCCTGCAGGGATAGGTCCAGCCGCACCGCGCGCAAGCGGTCGGCCACGAAGCTGGCCACCTCTGCACGGGAGGCGTCGGCGCTCTCTGCCACCTCGCTAGCTAGGTAGCGCACAGTGGCCAGCAGCACGGAGGGCGGACGCAGCTCGCTCGGTGGGGGCCGCGGCTTGCCGGCGGCTGGCCGGCTGTACTCCTTCACCGCACGCTGAGGGTCGGCGCGGGGCCGGGTCCCGCGGCACCCCCGCGCCACCTCGAAGCGGTGCAGGCGACCCTCCTTTTCGCGCCTGGCGCGCTCGGCAGCCGGGCACATCTCCGGGCACTTGCCCACCGGCAGCTCACAGCCGGGCATGGGCGGGCTGCAGGGAGAGGACAGACCCTCAGCATCCCAAAGACCGAGGCGGCTTCTCTCCCCATTCTTCCGGAAAGCAAGCCGAGACCAGGGGTAGGGGAGGAGCGGAGTGGGGCGGAACCCAGCCGGGCCTGCCTCACCTGCCGGACTTCCGACATCGCAGCCGCGCGTCCAGCCCCGCCGCCTGGCCCCGCCCCACCAGCCTCTCACCGAGTTCCGTCGAACTGGCCTCCCGAGATGCACTGCGTTGTAGTCCGACGGCTCCACTGTTCTGCGCGCCCAGGACTCGCTAACGCCCCCTCTAACGAGCCTCCCTCAGCCTCTCGCGTTCTCGGTGTTCTTACATTGTTGGCCGGGCCACTCCCATGATGCACTGGTTTGTAGTCCCTTCCACAACCAATTGCTTTGTAGAAGGGGTGGAGCGGGGCAGGGGCGGCCACGCCCCCAGCCCTACCTGGCTTCTGCCCGCCGGCTTTGGGCGGCTCAGAACAGGTGTCCTCGCTTTTTCTAAAATGTTTTTTCAGCCAATAACCTGCCCTATTGGACCATCAGTCTGCACTGTTTCCCTGAAGGCTATTCCTATTTTTTAGACCAGGAGTCAGCAAACTTATCTTACGAAGGGCCAGGTATTAAATGTTTGGGGATTTGCAGGTAGCAACTACTCAATTTAGTAACCTAACTGCAACTAGTCAACTCTGTGGCAGTAGCATGAATCCAGTCTAGACAACACCAAACCAATGAGCCTAGTTGTGTTCCAGCAAAATTTTACTGCAGAAACTTAGGTGTGTTATAAGTTTTGCCTGTCAGAGTATCGTTTTCCCCAACCACGGAAAAAAAATGTAAAAACCGTCCTAGTTTAAGGGCCTTTTAAAAAAGGCAGTGGGCCAGATTTGGCTGCAGGGCACAGTTTGCAGGCCCCAGTTCTGGAAGGGTAAAGTGACAGTTTAGTGACCAGAACTGCTGCTTGCAAATCAAGATAGAAACAGTCAGGATCAGCATTGTGGGTCCATGATCCCAAGGTGGCAGGTGTAGTTGGGAAGCTGAGAACTCATTATTTTTCTCATCCTTGGTCCAGTTACATACATAAATGGCCCCTGGGGTTACAAGACTAGGAGGTAGGACCAGGCTCTGGGGATAGGAGGGGGTGGTTGGCAGTGCTGGAAGTGGAGTCCTGGGGAAGGGTCCACTGTCTCTCAGGGTGGGACCTGGGACAGGTGCAGATGCAGGAGCTCCTCTGCCCTCTTCAGGTAGTCAGCTGCCTTCTTCTTTACACCTTCTCTGCGGGCTGGGGATGGGTCACCTGTGGAGAGAGACTGCCTCAGCCTCAAAACCCGTAGACTAACCTCTTTCAGTTCACGGAGCATCATCACGTGCTTTTCCCCTTTCTCCAAGATCCAGAGTCTATCCTCTCCATTTTACAAATAAAACTGAAGCCACGAGAGATTAAAAAAAAAAAGAACAACAAAAAACTCCTGCCCCAGGTTGCATGACTGGTCCATGGGAAACAAGGACTCCCGATCCCTGAGTTGCTTGTTTTCCACCTTCCCCTGCTCACTACACCATCTGAGACCCAGGCCTGCCCCTCCACCCTCCAGTCCATACTCACTGGGCACTCCTTGAAGCAGGATGTGCACCCCATCTCGGTAGCCTTGGAGTGCAGCAGGGTAGGCACCCGCCTGCTCATCCCGCCAGGCCTGCATGATGAGCTCTGTGGCTTGGCTCAAGTAGGCAGGGGCAGGCCCTCCTTCTTCATCTTCTTCTTCCTCTTGTCCTCCTGGTTCCCAGGGCTCCTGGTCCAGGCTTTTGGACGCTAAATCCATCACTGCCAGCTCACCTACGTGAGTAGGGCTGGGGCCTGAGCCTTCTGCAATCAGAGAGGGAGGATTCAGGCCAGACTGGCCAGTCCTTGCCTACCCTTGGCCCTCCCTTGCCCATGGGGGTGTAACCTGTCCCTTGTGAAGCAGTGCCTGGGAAATCCAGAAGTCGCTTATGTATAGCAAACCAGTCATGATCTATTGGGTAGACTCATTCATTTTAGTTTGCAAGCTCTTGGTCACTAGTCCAATTTCCCTGTTAATCTGGAAATCTAAGAATGCCTTCCACAAAGTTGAACTTTAAGGCATAGTGGTTACATTGCTGGATTCTCATATGGCTGACTGTGGTTTAAGTCCTGGACCCGGTAGCTTGAAAATCATGTCAGGCCCATGTGTGTTCTTGCCCAAGATCCTGGGAGGAAAATGGAGATAGGATTGTGGCGTGGTCATCCCCCCTGGGGGGATGATTTCTTACTTTCTCTCTCATTGTTTCTGTCTCTGTCTCTCTCTCTCTGGTGAGCACACACAAGGACTAAGGCAAAAACCTCTTAAATAAATAAATAAAACAAAGTTGAACTTTAGAATGCTAGACCAAGCACACCAAGCCAGGGGTGGACACCCAGAGACTCTCAGGGCAGTTTCAGGTGAAGCCCTCAGATGTGAAGACAGTGGGTGACAGGTAACCTCACATTGCAGAGTGAAGGCTCACTGTACCCCCTGTAGCCTCCACGTGAAGCAGCTGCAGATTTGTGATGCTCTCGTGAAAAGGCCTTTGAAGGGGAAGTACAGGAGCAGGGGCTGCCCTGGCGCTGGACTGTCCTGGAGAGGGAGGGGGTGAGACTTTCTAACCACATCTGAGTGAGAAGTTCTGAGACTCCATGAGGAGACCAGGGGCCTCCTACGGGATGGGGAGAAGAAACCTCACTTTCCAGCCAGGTCTGCAGCCCTCCCTGTGTTGCTGGAGGAGCAGAAAGCAGAAGAGTTCTTGGGACGCCCTAATACTGCAGTTCAGGAGTTAGTGTAGTGATGAGGAGAGACGCTCCCGCTGGCTCCTTGCTGAAGACCGGCCCCAACAGCAGGGAAACACGGCATGTCCGCATAGACTGTACTCCCCCATTTGGAGGGACGAGGATTTGGAAGCTTCCCCTGGGCTGAGTGCGTGTCCCATGGGAGCTGCCCATGGCGGGAGGGGTCTTACGAAGCTCCTGCCCAAGCAGCTGCCTGCTGGGCACCCCCAGGGGCTCAACTGGGTGGAGGCAGAGTACTAGATGCCTGCCTCTCAGAGGGGTACAACAGATTGGTGATGCACCTCTGCCTTTCCCCTCCGGCTCCTCCTTCCCCTCCCTGATCCTGCCCTCAGGGAGGGGAGAGGGTGGGATAAGAACGGAAAAAGGAGGCTCCTTACACCCTGGTCAGCAAGGCATGAGCAGGCAGAGCATGGGGCCCAGTGTGATGGGGGGACGCCCTGAGCTAGACTAGCCCAGGCTGTGTCACACCGAGGGTGAAAGCGCAAATGCCTGAAACCAAGCAAAGGGCCAGGGGTCTGCCCAGGAGGCCACCAGGGCCAAAGAAAAGAAGCCAAGAGGCTGAAAAACACCCAAGGACTCAAACACAACTACTTCATGAGTGTCCTAAAGTGACATGAGCCACACGACACCCTGACTACAGTGACAGCATAAGTGTGAAGAATTTTTTTTTTTTTGGAGAGGTTTTTTTTTTTTTTTTTTTTTTTTTTTTTTTAGGGGGTGTGGGCTTGCTGGGGAGAAAGAGAGAAAGGGCAATCAGAAAGACAAAGAGAGACAGAGACAGAAAGCGAGAAATCACCCCCCAGGGGGGATGGCCACGCCACAATCCCTTCTCCTCCATTCTCCTCTCGGGATCTTGGGCACACACGCACACACGCCCGGCGTGAGTTTAAGCCACCAGATCCAGGACTCGAACCGCAGTCAACTGCATGGGAGTCCAGCAACATAGCCATTACGCTAACTGCTGGTCCCAAGCGTGGAGAATTTTAGAAGGAAATGCTCTAGTGTCTCAGAGCTTGGGACTGGCAGGTCCTGGATCTCAGAACGAGGAGGTGGCAGGCCCTGACCTTTCGGTGCCCTGCAGGCCAGCAGCTGCTCCAGGCCTCAGACAGCCTTCCCTTGGCTGCTGCTCTTGGAGGTCAGGCCTTGCCCCCACCTCCAGGCCTCCCTAGCCTTCAGGATGTGCAGCTGGGCCCTGAGCCAGTCAGGAAATCTGAACTCAGGCTTCCAATGGAAGACACTGAAACCTCTCTGAGCAGCGACCCTGCTCTTTTCAAAGCTTTCCCAGGGATGAGCCCCATCGTGGGAAATGGTTTATCTCCGTCCTGCACAGTTACCCATGGTACAGGGGCATCCAGCTCACCACGCCATGAGCCTGCACACCAGCGGAAGGTTCTTGCTGAGGATTTATGCAAGCGTCACACAGGGCAGCTGGCAGCCCTGCCTCCCCCTGCCCCTCCTGCCCCAGCCCCTGCTCTGCTGTCCCAGCATGTTACCTTCTTTGGAGAAGGGGTCGAAGAGCGCAAGCTCGGCCTCAGTGAGGGGGCCCCGGGCAGGGGAGCTGGATGCCTCCTCGATGCTCCCACAGGTGAAGAGGAGGTCCAGGGCCTCCTGGGCAGGGCTGGAAGGTGGGGGATCCACTGAGGAAGAGATCATTGGGGACGTTAATGCCACGTCTACCATTCCCCAGCTTTTAGAATGGACTTATTCTCCCACTAAATCCTGCAGCAACCACGGCACAGACAACCCAATACGAAGGTTTGTGCCATCCTAGAGATAAGCCCAGAGAGAAGGGCGCCGTTCCAAGCTTCTTAGTAGCTCGCTGGTGGAGCTGAGAAACACCGTGGGTTTGTCGCCATCGCTGAGGAGAGGGTGTCGGCCCTACACCAGCCCCCACTCTGGACACTCCAGAGTGGCTCCCCACTCGCACCCGCCCCCACTCTGGACACTCCAGAGTGGCTCCCTCCTCGCCCCCCCAGGTACCTGGCACCTCCAACTCCTCAAGGCCTTTCCTCTCCGCGGGGAGCGGCTGGGGCAGCCGGGGCTCATCGGGAGGCGGTGTGGGGATCAGAGGAGGTGGCAGGATGTGTAGGTCCCTGGACGCCTCGGAGGGCCGTGTCACTTCCCCACCCTGCAGGGACAAACAGCAGAGGGTCAAGGTAGTCACGGGGTGCAGATTGGTGGGCAGGGAAGCTTCTGGAGCTGGGAGATGGGCAGAGGCACAGTACCCGGAAGAACTCCTTGAGCTGGGGGCTGTTGTTGAGTGCGGGGATGTGCACGGTGAAGCGCAGCAAGTCCTCTGCCCCCTTCCGCCGCTCCTCGATCACCGAGGCTTCAAACCGGCCTGTGGCCCCCAGGACAAGGGAAGGGAGAGAGCAGCTGTGACCCCAGGGGCGCTGACCCTGGAGCCCGTGTTTCCTGTTGTGCCCGAGAGGTTCTAAGCAATGGGTGCCCCGTGCCCACTCCCCAGCAATCTTTCCTGGTGCCGCGCTAGGGGGCACTTACAAGGAGGGCTCACTCAAGCTCCCCATTCATCCACTGGCCAGATCTCTTGGAGCACCTGCAATGAGCAAGGCTCAAAAGGTGAACGAGAGAGAAACAAGGTCTCTGCCCCCATGGGTATCACACCCTGGAAGGGGGAAGCAGGCAACCAGTGAGAACAACTCATTTTGGATGGCTTTGATGTGATGAGGAGGAAAGGAAGGCTCAGAGAGGGGAAGTGACTTGCCTGAAGTCATACAGAAGCAGCCCCTTTCTTTCAGCTTCACTGCTCTGTCCTGGGTAGTATGTGGTTACATACTGATTGCTACGGCCTCACTACTATGCCACCAGGGGAGGGACCTGCTGCACTCCCCACCTGCCAGCAACAACCTTCCACCTGACTGTGAAAGAGTATCGCATGTGAGGCTGCAGACTCAAGTAAGAGATCTGCAACAGAGATGTCACACAAGGGCCAGGTGTTGGCACAGCGGAATGCACCTAGACCCACCTGGGGAAGGTCCTGCACCCTCCCTGGACATGCTAGGCCTGCAGTCCCTGCCAGCTAAGACTGGAGGTGGATCGCGGCCTGAAGACCCAGGTTGGAGTGCCTTTCTCTCGGTCTGTTTCTCTCATAGAATAAGTAAATAAATAAATAAAACGAACAAAAATATAAGCCACAAATACCATTGAAAAATTTCTACTAACCATATTTTTTTTTAAAAGAGATTTTTGCTATAGGGCACATGCACTCATCAGAGAGACAGAGAGAGACAGAAAGAAAGTGAGAAATAATCCCCTAGGGAGGATGGCCACATTGCAATCCCCTCTCCTCCATTCTCCTCCAGGGATTTTGAGCACACACGCACATGCATGTGGCGTAAGTTTCAAGCCACCAGGTCCAGGACTTGAACCGTGGTCAACTATGTGGGAGTCCAGCAATGTAACCATTACAGCTTCTGCTGGTCCCAATAGCCACATTTTTTTTAAAAAAAAAAAAAAAAAGGAGAAAGAGGACCAGCAGTTAGCATAATGGCTATGTCGCTGAACTCCAATGAAGCCAACTGCAGTTCGAGTCCCGGACCTGGTGGCTTAAACTCATGCCGGGCGCATGTGTGTGTGTGCACTCAAGATCCCCAGAGGAGAATGGAGAAGAGATTGCAGCATGGCCATCCCCCCTGGTGGGGTGATTTCTCGCTTTCTATCTCTCTGTCTCTCTGGTGAGTGCACACGCCA